GGACCCCCCCTCCCTCCCTCCCCTGCAGTGTGGCTCAGGCCTACGTCAACCAACGCAAGCTGGACCAGGAGGTGAAGACGCTGCAGGCGCAGGCAGCGCAGTTTGCCAAGCAGACGGGGCAGTGGATCACCATGGTGGAGAACTTCAACCAAGCCCTCAAGGTGGGCACCCCCACCACTCCCCCCCCCAGAAACCCCCTCTCCTCAATCCCAGGGTGTCAGCAACACGCTGATACCCCCCCCCCCGTGCCTTCCCCCCTCCCCCAACCCCCCTTGCAGGAGATTGGCGACGTGGAGAACTGGGCGCGCAGCATCGAGCTGGACATGAGGACCATTGCCACAGCCCTGGAGTACATCTACAAGGGGCAGCTGCAACCTACCTGCTCCTGAGCCCCCCCAACACACCACGGAACACCCCCCCTCCCCTACCCACCCCCCCAGTGTGGAGCATGGGGACCCACCCGAGCAGAATAAAACCACAGTGAGGAGTGGCGTGGCCCCAGCTGCCCCCCCTAAGCCCCCTCATCCTCTTTAACGCTAAACCCAGCTCTGAGGCCCCTTTTTCTCTGGACAAAGGCTCCTTCGGGGCCGGTGCTAATCCCCAGGGACAGGGGGTGGCCTCGTGCCTGGCCCCCCTCCCTCCAGAAATCTCCCGCCTATAGGCCCCAAGCACAGAGGGAGGAGCAGCTGTAGCCCCCCCCCCCGGGCTCAGACCCACTTTGCTGCTTCTGCTAACGCTGTGCCTGGAGCCCGCTGCCCCTGAAGGTAGGTGGGAGGCATAGGGGGAGTCCCACCCCACACCTATGGGGCAGCTCAGCCTCTGTGTCCCCGCTCTGAGATGGGTACTATGTGACCCCGTGGGGCTTGGGGAGGCTTGGGAGGGGCTGCTGCCCCTTGCTCAACCTGCACCTAGCACCCCAGCCTTGTGCAGGGGGTTTAGCAGGTATTCAGAGCCCACTTATGGGGCTGCAGAGGGTAGGGGGGCATTATTCTACAGGGCTTCTGTATGGGGGGGGGAACATGGGGACAGGTTAGCTGGGGACACGGACAGGGCAGTGACCCTGTGCAGGTTGGGAAGTAGGGGGCACATGGGATCATCCTGGCTGCCGGATGGGGCTGAGCTGGGGGGGGAGCAGCTGGGGGGCAGCAGCTGGGACCCCCACAGCAGCAACAGAGCTGAATGCTGAGGTCCTGCACTCCGGTAATCCTGCACACCACTCCCCACTGGGAGGGGGAGAGAAGGAGGGGACACAGATCACAGCCTGGGGGGTGGGGGCGGGGGGCAGCAGAGTGTTCCCCCACTCCGTCAGGGCAGCCACAGCACTGGGTTGTGGGACAGGGTCACACCTCCCCCCCACAAAAAAATAATGGTGGGGGTCTGACCCCATGGCACGGGGCAGGGTGCTCAGCACAGCAGTGCTCCAGGAGCCTGGGACCAAACACAGGGCTTGATGCGTGCAGGGGGGTGGCACAGCCCAGTTCCCCCCTCCCAAAAAAAACCCAACACCATCCCTTCCAGGCCCCTGCCATGTGGTTGTATCTATTGCTGGTGGTGCTGGCCTGGGCCCTGGGCTGGCTGGTAAGGGATCGCCGAACCCTCCCCTCAGTCAAAGACAAACACGTCTTCATCACCGGCTGTGACAGTGGCTTTGGCAACCTGCTGGCACGACGGCTGGCCCAACGTGGCTTCCGTGTTCTGGCTGCTTGCCTGACCCCACAAGGGGCCGATGGGCTGCAGCGAGGATGTGCTGGGCACCTCCGAACCACGCTGCTGGATGTGACCCGATCTGATAGCATCCGGCGTGCTGCGGAGTGGGTGCGGGAGGAGGTGGGCGAGAAAGGTGAGAGGGATGTGGGGGTGGGAGAGGGTGAAGGTCGTGGGAGGGATACTGTAGGGTGAAAGGGCTGGAGGGTAAGGGGGGGAGATGCGCCGTGATGGGGTGTGGGGCATTAAAGGGGGTTTTTGGAGAGCTCGTATGGGGCAGGAAGGGATTGCACCATCTGTGGTGTGAGATGGAGGCAGGGTCATCAGAGAACTCCCACCAGGGTATCCTAATGGAGGAAGATGAAGGGTCAGCAGAGAGGGGCTGGGGATGCTGCGAAGCGCTTTGGGATCCCTGGAGAGGTGCTGTAGGGTGGGAGGATCACCGCCAGGCTGCCATAGGGCAAGGCAGGAGGGATCCCCTGCAAGACTGCTGTACGGCAGAAGGTGGGAGTACCTGGAGAGCTGCTGCAGGGTGAGGGGAGGAGCGCCCTGCAAAGTTGCAGGACGAAGCCTGGGGGTCCCACTGGGGTGTTCTATGGGGCAGGAATTAAGAGGGGTCTCCCATCCCAGGGCTCTTTGGGCTGGTGAACAACGCAGGGGTGGCCAACCCCATCGGCCCCACGGAGTGGATGCGGATTGAGGACTACCAGCAGGTGATGGCTGTCAACACTTTCGGGGCCATCGAGGTGACCCTACAGCTGCTGCCCCTCCTCAAGAGGGCACGGGGCCGCGTGGTCAACACCTCCAGCGTGCTCGGCCGCCTCTCAGCCAACGGTGGCGGATACTGCGTCTCCAAGTACTGCATCGAGGCGTTCTCCGACAGCCTCAGGTGGGTCCCAGTGTCCCCAACCCCCAGCCCCGCATCCCCCCAGCCCCGTCCCGACGGCCGCACGCCCGCAGGCGCGACATGTACCACTTCGGGGTGAAGGTGAGCATCGTGGAGCCCGGCTTCTTCAAGACAGCCGTGACCAACCTGGAGAGCATCGAAGCGTCGCTGCGGCAGCTCTGGGAGCGCCTGGCACCCGAGACACGGCTCAGCTATGGCGAGGAGTTCTTCCACAAGTGTGAGTGGTGGGAGGGGACAGCGGGGCCACCCCCCTCTTCTTGGGTTGGCCACCCCTTCTTCTGGGGCCTCGTTGGGTTCACCACCCCCTTCTTCCTGGGCCCCTGTTGGTTTGGCCACCCACCCCCTTCTTCTTGGGACCCCGTTGGGTTGGACACCCTCTTTGTGGGCCTGTTGGGTTGGCCACCCACCCCCTTCTTCTTGAGACCCCCATTGGGTTGGCCACCCACCCCCTTCTTCTTGAGACCCCCATTGGGTTGGCCA